GTAGCTTCTCCGATCTATAAATAAAATGGTCCAAATCATCCCGTTTCTTTTAGATGGTGAGCATCCCCAGTCATTAACCCCTTTTTTGCTCCTCACCACTTACATACTTTGGCATTCAAATTACTCCTGATTTCACTATTGTCAGCTCGACATTCCCCCAAACCACACTTATTTTTTTTTTAGAACGCAGCAAATTATATTATGAAAGGGGAATGTAGAGCCCGTGGCATTAGTCACCTACATCAAATGACAATTTCAAGCCTTTTTCAGGGGTACAGCAACAGTATGACTGGCCAAAACATATGCAATTTTATTACATCCAACTTAAGCATACTATACAAGTGTAAATAAATGAGGATGGATGGATATACCCTATTTTTAATCTTATGGAGAATACCAGGACCACCGAAGGCTTTATAACAAATTGTTACACTGTGGTACTCCCAGAGCACCCTAAAGCTCATCCCTGTAGTGTTGTGGATAAATGAGAGAGGCGTTTGGGACTTACCGAGAGAGAATAGAACAGTTTTCTGGACAAAGCTTGCTTAATGTTTCTCAGAGATGGACTCAAATATATATTGTACTGAGAGCAATTTTACTCATATGCCTTGGCAACGGGCAAAATTAAATATTGACAATTTGTGACCACTACACTAAAGTTCAATATTCCAATTACCCATCCCACTGCACCCTAAGGCATTCAGTGTGGGCCTTATGTTTGATCTGACCACAGATGACAACATAAAAGTGCATTAGCAAAAAACCTATACCAAGCAAGGAAGCTTATTTTACAGCAATGGAAATCTGCAGAACCCCACCCTGATACAACATACTATACAAACAATACATTGAGGCTTGAACATTATATTTTCCAACACAGGTACTGCTAAACTAAATTTGAAAAGGTATAGGGCAAGTGGTTACCCTTTGGAAGTAATTGGCTTCCCCTTAGTACAAGATGTTCACACTCCCTCCTCCATCTCCATACCTTGATTGCTTAATTTACAGAGCTCATATTTTGCATTTGTCCATTGCGATCATTGTACTGAAGGTGATTTGGGTTTTATCCCGCTCTTTGTACCCCTAACCATTATTTTATACTGCCCCATGCAATACCCAAATGCTGAAACTTCTATTATTCGAGACTATCCAAGAAATGGCAGATACTTAGCTAAAATTTTATTGTTGTTCTACTGACTAGTATTACTCAATAAAGAGTCGTTCTGATGAAGAAAAAAAAAAGAGACAAGACCCAGAGCCACGCTTTTTTCAATGAAAACTTTACTGAGATGCTGTGAATTCAGCCTTCAGTTACGAATAGAAAATGTAGGAATTAGTTGAAGGCACATCTTCTAAATAAAACTGTATACATATATATATTTTACAGAGTCATAAATAAGTATAGGAGACCTGTGCGTGGCAGGATGCAGAAACAGTAGCACGCACGCATCATAATAACTTAATAGCAAACCTGTCCAAGAGATCACAAACCAGGGAAGTGACCTCACTGGGTACACATATGAATAAACTTACAGAACAGAGGGGGCAGCAGCTCCTCTTGACCCCTTTGATGCCAGATCACATGCACCTGTTTCCAGAGAAATATGTTGCAGAATTCCCTGACAGTTAAAGGGGGTAAAATACCTGAGATACAGTACGAAATTGAAAGAACACAGAAAACACATGACATGGGAGGAGCGCCATCCAGCAGTGGTGTACACTAGCTAATATTTTATAAGAAAAGCAAGGCACTGAATGACATTGCATAAAATGGTTTGCCATAGTGGTGTTCACAATACGGTATTGCTCCACAGTGTAGGCCATAATGGCAGTCATTAAGGATGAGCGCTAGATTACCATCAGGCACATACATATGGATAGTTATCTACCCTGTCACACTTTAAAAATATCTTTGGTTGACTGCATCACTGAAGAGCACTGCTGGAGACCAGCTGACAGAGGAAGAGGTTACACTATGGGCTTCGTATAGTGTAAAAAGCAAATATGCACTGTAACCTTCAGCAGCCAGCAAACTGCTTTTACCGATCACGGTTTCACTGGTTGCTGAACGGTTACTGCACATCAAAGTTCTTTACACTGTTTCTAAACAAGCCTGTGAATGGGAAAACTGCTCATCTGCCATTTCAGGCAGAGCAATGCAACAATACAAAATACTAAACACGAGTTATAGGTCATTTTATGAAACTGCAAAGAATCTGTAGGAGGTGCGTTGAATTTTGAAGTGCCTGCTTGTATGCATCCTCCAGAACGGACTGCTCACTAGCCAGATTTTACACTGGCTTCACGAAATATGGATGCTCTCAAGTAGATTTTAGGGAATTTACAAAAACCTGTAATGCAGAAGAAATGGCAATGCGCAACTACAAAGACAGATCTTTCTATTCATTTCCCATATGAAATCAAGTTATATTTCACATTTCAAACAGCCAGCATTTGTTCTATTTTTGCCCTAAATCCACATTCCTGTGAATGTGGCTGACCGAGGAAAAGGTGTGTGTATGCGGAGTTCTATCCCTAAGCTACTCAGTCACGCTACTAAAAACTATAATATTTACAAAAAAAATACAACCATACACCGGTATTCTCGATTTCTCTCGGTTTCCAGTAACTTGTGGTGGATAAAAGCAGAAAAAAAAAATGGGACATTATAAAATATTTTTTAGGTGTACACAAAAAAGTAATGGAAACAAAATTAAAACTTTAAAAATCTTCTCCAAAAGTTTTACGGTAAGTAACCATACAATATTAAAATGCTACAAAAATAAAGCATCTGCTAAAAAATTTTAAATAAGGTAATAAATAAAAATGTTACACTTTTTATCCTGCAGGCAATGAAAAGTTAAAGTGGTTTATATACATTCAATTAGCCTAGTATGAAATGAAGCTGGCACTCACTTACAGGATGCCCTAACAGAGCACATTACACTCGAAGTAACGCACATCAACAGTGTGAACCTAGCCTTCGTGCAGACTGTTACTTTGGTAGACTTTTTTCCAGCACGGGTCCACATTAGCTGGGTTATTCACAAAAGGGTGAAGAGTTTGGAGAAGGCCGGAGAAGTGAACAATCTAGGACAACATAGCTGAACTGGAAAGTGAGCTGAATTGGAGGATGTTTCCATATCAGCTATGTTGTCCTAGATTGTTCACTTCTCCGGCCTTCTCCAAACTCTTCACCCTTTTGTGAATAACCCAGCTAATGTGGACCCGTGCTGGAAAAAAGTCTACCAAAGTTACAGTCCGCACGAAGGCTAGGTTCACACTGTTGATGTGCGTTACTTTGAATGTAATGTGATGTCTTAGGGCAGCCTGTTCATTTGAATATGCCCCCCGATGCACTAAAACGCATGTGCATCCCCACAGCTCAAATGTGTGAACCTAACCTAAAGGCTAGCCAAGCCTTAAAACAGTGTTTTGGGAATTCTCAAGGACTCTGTGCTATCCCACAACCCAATACTAAAGCGCTGTATTGCCTGCAAGGGCTTCCTTGCTGGGTTGTGAAAAACAGCAGCTGGGCAGGTTGGATTTCTGGAAGGGTCTGTCTGAATTCAGGGGCTGCCTGGCACAAAATGCATGTATATTTCCTAATACAGATACTATCCACCTTGTGCTGCAAACCGGTACTTGGTTAGGCGTTTTCCCTGCAAGAGATAACTTTAGATGATCTCTTCCACTTTAGTGTGAAGATACACGGTACTGAACAAAAATCAATCCAATGTGTCTAAAGAGGACAGCTACTTAGCACCCCCAAAGATGATCACTTGCCTGTGGTCCACTTATGTTACAAAAATAAGTGCAGAGGCACATAAACAGTTCTTTGCACTTTCATAAATGACCCTTAATAAGTCCGTCACAAATACCAATGTGGTATCATTCACGTATAACACCGGGTAAAGTATTTGAAATAATTTACGCTGTAAAACAAATACAGAAAAGCAAACTCTAGAAGGAAATAGCCAATATGGAGAGCCTCTTGATTGCCGGCATTCCGATATAGTCTGGATGAAAGTATAACTATTTGCTGAATGGGCTGGCACTGTGAGAGGTTCATATTAACGGTCCCGCAACCCAAAAGGTTTATAATAACATTCAAGACTTGCACATCTGCCACCGATAAACAAAACGTAATATCTTAACTACTAACAACGTAATATTGGTGTGTAAGGCTCAAAGAAAAAAAAAAACATACATTGCACTTAAAAGCAGACAGCAAGATTCCCCGGCTATTTTAATAACTGGGTTACTGGTGCAGTAAGCCTCTAAGGGATCAATAAAGCACAGCATTCGGGTGACCAAGAAAGAAAATGGAAGTGATGTCTACTATGTGTAGCAGATGTAAAGTAGATGCTGTTTTATGTATGAAACCAGCTGCTTCCTATAGGTCTAATTCTGCACAATGTCAGTTTGCATTAGTCTAAATGGTGGTACTGCAGCTATTGACTAGCAGCCCTGCAGCCGTCTATTTGTACATAATGCTTATCACAGACAAAATAGCCTACTGATTCAGTACTCAATGTATCTCTTTCTAAAAAGTGCAAAATGCACTTGCAAGAGAAGATAGGAAACTGTGTTCCACATGGGCGAAATGAAGGATATTTAACAAGGAGGAATTTCTTTGGCATAAAACAAAGTGTCTGCCTCTGTGTGGCAAACAGTACCTAGCCTGAGATATAATGTTATGGATATAAACACATATACACACACACACACAAATATACCCTGAGCAGACACCCAGGCCCCTTCTACCCAAAGGGAGGTTGTTATGGGGCAGCAATAGTGCAAAGATTAGCATGGGTTAAAAGAACTAAAAACACATCTGGTAATCCCATCCCTTCCCCATATACATATAGATAATATATATATATATT